CCCTGGGACCCCCAAAATCCAGCTCAGGACCCCCAAAAGCCCCTCCAGGACCCCCAAAATCCATCTTGGGACCCCCAAAATCCTCAGGATCCCCCCCAAAAACCCCACAATTTCCTCAAAAATCCCTAAAATTCTCCCCAAATCCCCCAAAATTCTCCCTAAAATCTCTCAACTTTCCACCCAAACCCCTTGAATCTCCCAAAATTCCCAAAAATACCAAAAAAAACTTGCAAAATTCCCCCAGAAAAACCCCAAAATCCCCAAATTTCTTCCTCTCAGCCATGGCCTTCCTCACCTACATCCTCCTGGCTGGCCTCGCTTTGGGCACCCAAAACAGGTACAAAAATCCCTTTTTTCCCCCCAAAAAATCCCTTTTCTCCCAAAAATCCTTTTTTTCCCCAAAAATCCCTTTTTCCCTTGAAAAATCCTTTTTTTTTCTGCCAAAAATGCATTTTTTCCCCAAAATCTCCTGTTTTTCTGCCAAAAATTCCTTTTTCCCCCCAAAATCCCCTTTTTTTTCCCCAAAAAATCCCTTTTCTCCCAAAAATTCCTTTTTCCCCAAAAAGTCCCCTTTTTTCCCCAAAACTCCTCTTTTCCCTAAAAAAAAATCCCTTTTTCTGCCAAAAATCCCCTTTTTCCCCAAAAAATCCCTTTTTCCCCCAAAAAAATCCCTTTTCCCCCCACAAAAAACCCCTTTTCCCCCCCCCAAAATCCCCTTTTTTTTCCCCAAAAAATCCCTTTTTCCCCCAAAAAAATCCCTTTTCCCCCCACAAAAATCCCTTTTTCCCCCGCCCAAAATCCCCTTTTTTCCCCTAAAATCCCCTTTTTCCCGCAAAAATCCCTTTTTTTTCCCCCTAAAATCCCTTTTTTTTCCCAAAATTCCCTTTTTTCCCCCTCAAATTCTTTCCTCTAAACCCTCCCCCCTTTATCCCCCACTCCAAATCCTGAAATTTTGGGATAAAATTCCCAGATTTTTCTCTGAGTAAAATCCCAAAAAACCAAAATAAAACCTAAAAAAATCCCCAAAAAATCACAAAAAAAATCCCATTTTTTCTCCGTTTTTCACCCGATTTTCACCAAATTTTCACAGAATTTTTTTGACCATGCCAGAATTGAATTTCTGTGTCTGGAATTGCAGATTTTCCCCGGACAGCCTGGGGCTGCTGGAGGTGCTGAGCCAAACCGACCCAAAACCCCCCAAAAAAACCCCACAAAACCCCTCAAAAAATCCCAAAAATTCCCAAAAAATCCCCCAAAAAAACCTCTAAAAAACCCCCAAAAATCCACCCAAAACATCCTAAAAGAATCCCCAAAAAAACCCCAATAAAACTGAAAAAAATCCCCAAAAAATCACAAAAAATTCCATTTTTTCTCCGTTTTTTCTCCGTTTTTTCTCCGTTTTTCGCCCGATTTTCACCAAATTTTCGCAGAATTTTTTTGGCCATGCCAGAATTAAATTTTGGTGTTTGGCCTTGCAGATTTTCCCCGGACAGCCTGGGGCTGGTGGCCAGCTCGGCGCTGGCCTGGCTGCTGCTGGAGGTGCTGAGCGTCCTGCTGAGCCTTTACCTGGTCACCGTCAGCACCGACCTCACCCCCATCGACCTCGTGGCCTTCGCGGGATACAAATACGTGGGGTGAGCCAAAATTGGGGCTTTTCACCCCAAAAAATGGTGGGAGGAGTAGTAAAATATTGTTGGGAAGGTCACGGGAAAGGGACAAAAAATTCCTGGAAAAATCGGAGAAAAGCGACAAAAATTCTGTAAAAATTTGTGGTGAAATCGCACAAAATCCACCAAAAATCCTGCAAAAAATTCCTTCAAAAATCGCACAAAATCCACCAAAAATCCTATTTAAAATGCTAGAAAATCCCACAAAAATCCTACAAAAATTCCTATAAAACACTGAAAAAAATCCTACAAAACTTCCACCAAAAATCCTGCAAAAATTCCTACAAGAATCACACAAAATCCACCAAAAATCAAATTTAAAATCCTAGAAAATCCCACAAAAAATCCTACAAAAATTCCTATAAAACACTCCAAAAAATCCTACAAAAATTCCACCAAAAATCCTGCAAAAATTCCTTCAAAAATCGCACAAAATCCACAAAAAATCCTATTTAAAATGCTAGAAAATCCCACAAAAATCCTACAAAAATTCCTATAAAACACTCCAAAAAATGCTACAAAAATTCCACAAAAAATCCTGCAAAAATTCCTACAAGAATCACACAAAATCCACCAAAAAATCCTAGAAAAATTGCACACAAATGCACCGAAAATCCTATTAAAAAATCCTATAAAATATCCCAAAAAATCTACAAAAATTCCTGCAAAAATCACAGAAAATTCACAAAAAATCCTGGAAAAATTCCTACAAAAATCACAGAAAATCCACAAAAAGTCCTACAAAAATCACAGAAAACGCACAAAAAATCCTACAAAAATCACAGAAAATCCACAAAAAGTCCTACAAAAATCACAGAAAACGCACAAAAAATCCTACAAAAATCACAGAAAATCCACAAAAAGTCCTACAAAAATCACAGAAAACGCACAAAAAATCCTACAAAAATCACAGAAAATCCACAAAAAAATCCTAGAAAAATTCCTACAAGAATCACACAAAATCCACCAAAAATCCTGCAAAAAGTCCTGCAAAAATCACAGAAAATCCACAAAAAAATCCTAGAAAAATTCCTACAAGAATCACACAAAATCCACCAAAAATCCTGCAAAAAGTCCTGCAAAAATCACAGAAAATCCACCAAAAATTCCTACAAGAATCGCTCAAAAGCCACCAAAAATCCTGCAAAAAATCCTACAAAAATTCCTAGAAAAATGCCACAAAATTCCTACAAAAATTCCCACAAAAATCACACAAAATCCACCAAAAATCCTAAAAAAAATGCTAGAAAATAGCCCCAAAATCCTCCCCAAAATTTCCATTGAAATAGTCTCAAATCAACAGGAATTGCCCCAAAATCCAACTCAAAACTTCCTGATTATTTGGGGTGGTTTTGGGGCAAAATTTCACATTTTTGGGGTGAAATCTTGGGGTTTTTGGGTGGTTTTGGGATGAAATGCCAGAATTTTGGGGTGAAATCCTGTGGTTTTTTGGGGTGGTTTTCGGGCAGAATTTCAGTTTTTTGGGGTGAAATCCCAGGGTTTTGGGCAAAATTTCACAGTTTTGGGGTGAAGTGCCAGAATTTTGGGGTGAAATCCCACGGTTTGGAGCAGAATTTCACTTTTTTGGGGTGAAATCCGGGGGTTTTGGGGTGAAATTCCAGAATTTTGGGGTAAAATTTCACAGTTTCAGGGTGATTTTGGGATGGTTTTGGGGCAGAATTTCACTTTTTTGGGGTGAAATCTTGGGGTTTTGGGGTGCAATCCCACAGTTTTGAGTTAAATCCCATGGATTTGGTTTTGGTTGAAATTCCACAGTTTTGGGGTGAAAGCCTGAGGCGCCTCAGCCAAGGGGGATTTGGGGCTGATTTTGGGGGTTTCTCATGGGATTTTTGAGCTTTTTTTTTGTTTTTTGAGGTTTTTTGGGTTTTTTTTTTTGCGTTTTTCTTGGTTTTAAATCCCAGATTTTCCCTTTTCCCCCCAGATCCGGACTCTGAGGCTGAAGCTGCTCTGGGATGCCTCAGCCAAGGGGGATTTGGGTTCATTTTGGGTCTCTTTAATGGGATATTTTTGATTTTTATGGGATTTTTATGGGGATTTTTGTGGTTTTAGGACCCGAGGTGTCGATCCCAAAGTGCCAAATCCCAAATTTTCCCAAATTTCCCCCAGATCCGGACTCTGAGGCTGAAGCTGCTCTGGGATGCCTCAGCCAAGGGGGATTTGGGTTCATTTTGGGTCTCTTTAATGGGATATTTTTGATTTTTATGGGATTTTTATGGGGATTTTTGTGGTTTTAGGACCCGAGGTGTCGATCCCAAAGTGCCAAATCCCAAATTTTCCCAAATTTCCCCCAGATCCGGACTCTGAGGCTGAAGCTGCTCTGGGATGCCTCAGCCAAGGGGGTTTTGGGGCCCATTTTGACTCTTTTTCATGGGTTTTTTGGGGAATTTTGGCCTTTTTTGGGTTTTTTTTTGCATTTTTGGGGTTTTTTTTGGTTCCAAATCCCAAATTTTCCCAAATTTCCCCCAGATCCGGACTCTGAGGCTGAAGCTGCTCTGGGAGGCGGCGGCCGAGGGGGATTTGGGGCCCATTTTGACTCTCTTTAATGGGATTTTTTGGGGGAATTTTGGCCTCTTTTGGGTTTTTTTGTTGTTTATTTTTTGTTTTTAACCCCAAATTTTCCCTTTTCGCCCAGATCCGGACTCTGCGGCTGAAGCTGCTCTCGGAGGCGGCGGCCGAGGGGGATTTGGGGCTGATTTTGGGGGTTTTTCATGGGATTTTTTTGGGCTTTTTGATTTTTTTTTTAGTTTTATTTTGCTTTTTAACCCCAAATTTTCCCTTTTCCCCCAGATCCGGACTCTGAGGCTGAAGCTGCTCTCGGAGGCGGCGGCCGAGGGGGTTTTGGGGCTGATTTTGGGGGTTTTTCATGGGATTTTTTTGGGCTTTTTGATTTTTTTTTTAGTTTTATTTTGCTTTTTAACCCCAAATTTTCCCTTTTCCCCCAGATCCGGACTCTGAGGCTGAAGCTGCTCTCGGAGGCGGCGGCTGAGGGGATTTGGGGCTGATTTTGGGGGTTTTTCATGGGATTTTAATGTAATTTTTGTGGTTTTTTTTTTGGTTTTCTGAGTTTTTTGGTGGTTTATTTTTTTGTTTTTAACCCCAAATTTTCCCTTTTCCCCCAGATCCGGACTATGAGGCTGAAGCTGCTCTGGGAGGCGGCGGCCGAGGGGGATTTGGGGCCCATTTTGACTCTCTTTAATGGGATTTTTTGGGGGAATTTTGGCCTCTTTTGGGTTTTTTTGTTGTTTATTTTTTGTTTTTAACCCCAAATTTTCCCTTTTC